AGATTGCCGTCTGATGCGGTTTTATGGATTGACTGAAAGGTTTGTTTGTGCTTCCACAGCTAAAAGTTTACTTGCAGCATATCCCAATTCACTTGCTGTGCAAGTATACACTAAACTATGTGCTCCAAGTGCCTTTGATAACTGAGTAATCTTATTAGCATCTTACTAAACCTTACCTTCATTTTTTAATATAAATTTCTTTGTATGGACAAGAATGCTCATTTGTGTTCACAAAAAGTAGAAAGTAAGTAAGTGATATGAGATCAGAATGAATAAAGGTGAATAAAAGATGACAATTGTAATTTATGAGTAAACTATCTCTTTACAGTCTGTGTAGGCAATTCAGATAATTGTTTCTAAACACATTATACATGTTAGAAATTAATTGCTGAAAACATATTACAAAGACTGAACTATGTAGCACTGAATTGTGGAGTTTTTCACCATTTTTGTGATCAGGATTTTTACTGCTTATTTACTTATTTACAGAATGCTGCTTTTATTCAAGATTTTGGTATTTTATTTTATTTACTAGACGTTTTTTTATCATTCAAATTTGGCTGGGTGGTTAATAACACATTTTTTCTGTGGTGTAACAAACTCGGAACACATATTTAATATTGATTTACACAGATTTTAACTCACAAACTTCATAGTGCAATGGGTTGATGCATATTTCAAAATTTATTCAAAAATAAAAACCATTACGCCTATGGAATGTCCCCATAAAACATGGAAACACAACATGTGTGTGTGTGTGTGTGTGCGTGCGTGGGTGTGCGTGCGTGTGTGTGTGTGTGTGTGTGTGTGTGTGTGTGTGTGTGTGTGTGAGACACAGAGAGAGTAAAATAAAATCGAATAGACCTTCGTACAGAGAAAAAAACTTGTTCATGTACTTGAACTTCAGTCAAACTGAGAGGAATTTGTCTATGTGCTATATTATATCACATCTCACGTGTAGACACTGTTCATTGTTAATAATTATGTCGGATTTGTGTAATGTAAAGTGTCATAGTCGATATTCCAGTGTTCACATTATTCATATTTCTGTCATGCATTATGTCTGTTAGTGGTTTTTACATCTAGTGATTATCATTTCATGTTTCATTTGTTCTCTTCATGGCTCATTATCCTGTTTCATTTCTTTCATTCTTTAATTTCATTTTTTGTTTGGTTTTCAGTTGATTTTATTGGTGGATTTGACCCATTCCCACTCTACCATGTCAATGAGAAACCATCTCATCTTCTGTTAAAGCCAGTGCATCAGTAAGTACCTGTGTGTGTGTGTGTGTGTGTGTGTGTGTGTGTGTGTGTGTGTGTGTGTGGGT